CCACAGCTGTGGAAGAAGATCATCACTACCGACACTAATGATAATGACACTCAACACTGCCGTACCTGTTGCTCATAAGGGATCCCAAGATCATTAGGCTATCCTCCATGCTGGCAATGATCTCTGATGTGCTGTCTCCTCTCAGCAGCAACTCCCCACGGGTCTTAAAACTGGCAAATGTAAAAGTCTTGTTGTCCCACTCACCGATCACTTGCTTCAGCTTCTGTTCAATATCACGCTCTTTCACAGCACTGATGCAGATATCCTGCACAAGAACCCCGCCCCCCAAATGTTTTTAAATGTTAGCAATAAAAATGCTAATGGAAAACAGATGCATATGCACTGAAAAAAACAGGATCGGTGTTTTGCACTGAACAGGACCACCTATATCAGTTAGCAAAGTTAATTCAATATATTACTCTTTAAACTTTTTAAATGTTTTCATTTCCTCCAAACAATTTTCCAAACTTGTATTTTATTTGGAATTTATTATATCAAATAAAAAAGAAAACACCATGAATTAGCAGCTAATGATTCGTTTGTACCTCAATCTCTTCTTTATACTTGAGTAGAGGAGCCTCCATTATGTTACGCAGCTTGAATGTATCAGTTTCCACCTCAAAGGTATGGCCGGTCACCTGGATACAAAACAGGACAAATTACAGCTATCATCATTATCATTAGGTTCTGGTGATGACTTGATTTCAGTCAATAACATTCAGTTGCAGTGCTACACCAGTGGCCATGTTTCACTAACCTCCGTTATCCTCTTCCAGTGCCGGGCCATCATAGCTTTGTTAGTCATGAGTTCCAGCAGGGGGCAGCACTCACTGAACTCATCAATTGTTTTCTTCAGATCCTGAAAGGCCTGCCACTCTTTCAGAGCACGAGGCAGTTTTCGACACCTGGTAGTTCACAGGACGTGACAGTCAAACTCATATTTATTGTCTTCTTTCTAAACCACACTTTAGCTCCGCTGAAGTCAAGTAAAGTTGACATGAACTAGATCAGATGTATAGTTGACATTTTGTTTGTTAAAGGAAAAGTATTACAACACACTTCAAGTTTGGTATTAACGCTACAAGAGTCATTGGATTGGGCAACTTGTTAAGTATCCTTCCTTACTAGCACAGAGCAAAAGTTCATGCATCAGTGTCTGTTCATAGCTTCACTCAACCAAATCAACACCTCCACAACAGATAGCTGACGTTTCTACCAGAGAAAACAAATATCCTCTCTTCTTCAGCTCTGACTATAACTCTATATTTTCCTTCTGACTGCTTCTAATGTGTATCTAGATTTTCATTGTCAAGTAATCCCTTCCAGCTATATTAAAAGTTGTTCTTAATTTCTTTAGGTAAAATAAACTAGCCTGTAGCCTATTAGCCTCTTTCCCCTTCAGTGTCCATTTGACACATGCTGGACAAATGTGACCACATAAAGGGCAAAGATTAGCTTTTCATTGTGAGACTGAAATATTAATGCAGTGTTGGTGAAGAACAGGAAGCTTTGTTTCTGCCACTGAAAAAAACCCCACTTTTTTTGTTGTTATGTAAAACTTTTGGGTTAGTATCTCGAAATTATAACATCTCGAAACAAGTTTCCATATTGTAGCAAGTGAGAGGAAGCAGTTTCTTTAATGCCTGAAAATAAGAGTGATGTTTATGGATGGACTAATGAAAATCATGTGATGTCACCAATTCCTGCAGTAATGAGAGGGCTTGATTACACAGTATGAGAAGGTTATTTTCTCACATAGTCAGAAAAACACCTAGTTTTGTTTGTTTCCAGTTCAGCTTCTTTCCCGAAAACGTCTCCTTCTTCATTAACATATTTTAAGCTCATGTTACTACATCTACAGTTAAAAGAGTTCAACAGTTGCTTGAATAAAAAACAAACAAATAAATTGTCAAACCTCGTCTGAAAGTCGAGCAGCTCATTATTAATCTTCTCGATGCAGATGTCAGCCCAGAGGATATCATAGTAGCCGTTAACTGTATCGATGACATTGTTGTAAAGGCCGTACAACTTCTGCAGCAGAGCCAGTTGCTTCCTAATCTCCAATAGCTGAGGATGCTGGGTAACAGGAAGTCCAAAGAGCTCTTCACCTCCCGTGTAAGTGATGTACTTCCTGAACAGGTTGTCAAATCGATTCTGAAGAGGAGAAGAGCTACGATCAGGTACAGCTTACGCTCTGATGGACTTTAAAACATTAGACATTTGAGGTAAAACATTTGTAATTATCTGAGTATAATTTATACAGAATAAAAAAATCTGTCTTTTGCTAACAATGAAATAGAAACTGTAATAATAATAATAATAAATATATAATAGCTCTTTTAACATTAGTTTCAAGTAACTGCTTTTCTGAGGCATCAGGTCAATGC